TATACTTTTTTTTAAGGCGACACGACGTCACCTTTTATAAAAATATTTTATATATAAACAATCTTTTATATATAAAAAAATATTTTGAAAAATATTTTATATATAAAAATGAGACAACATTGTCCCGCTTTGAAGAAGAGAGAGGTGATGTCGTCGAATTATATATATATATATATATACACCGGTATACTGTAAGAAACTTTTAAGACTCAAATATCCACTAATAAGAGTGATACCAAAATTCTCAAATATCCACTAATAAGAGTGATACCAAAATTTGTTTACTTGATAAGAACCAAGATATTGCCATAGGCAAAGCATTCAAGATCTCGAAACTACCATGTTCATGCTTGCTCAATATTTCTACAGTTAAAAAGTAACATTGTATGCACATTCTACTTGAGACAAACCCAGGTAAAATGTGTTTCCAAGATTAGTACCCACTATCTAATGCAGCACATCGATACACCAAATGCGGAACCGTGTTCAAGGATCTTGGGACGTTGAAATCAACAACAACACCACAAATTAAAGTAGGTTTTGGGCGTTGCCAGCTTGCGACGAAGAACATCCAAATATTGGATGAAAGCAATAGAAGACAAGCAACCAAATCTACACACCCAAGACAAACAGACCCCTAATTGCTCACAGCACCAATACAACCACCCACTTGTGTGTCTCCACTCCAAGAATGGAGAAGCAATCAAGAAGCACGAAACCCACCCTCGATCCCTGTGCATCCCAATTCCAAGATTGGCGAAGCACTCATGACACACGAATCCCACATGGAAAACCCTCCCGATCCTTATACGTCAAGCGATCAAGACACACGAAACCCAGACGTCGCCCGTCGAAGCAACATACATTGCACCGAGCCACATCAAGCCATGACGGAAACTAGAAAGAAAACACAAAAACGAGGAGGAGATAAAAGCAACATAACATCATAATGTCATTCAACATAAACACATCCATCGATCAATCGGTGAGGAGACGAACGTACCCTCCACCGGTGGAGCCGCTCGACGGGGGCGTTCTTGGCGGGGATATCGAACGCGTCGTCCTCGCAGGTGATCTCGCCCTCATCTACGAGGGCCGCCGCCGCCGCGTCGGCGAGGCCGCACTCCTCATCGCGCTGCCGCGCGTAGCGCTCCGGCGACGGCGGGTCCATCTGCCGGCTACTGCGGGACACCTGACGCGCGATGTGACTCAGGACCTGGGCCGCCCAAGGAGCATCAGACGGCCTAAGGCAAACAAAAAAGAGAAAGAGAGAGAGAGAGAGAGACGGGTGCGTAAGATCAAGAATGCTGGTGGCACGACGTCGATGTTAAAGTAGCTCACCTGGGGCTAGGGGTGGGAGAGAGGACGGCGGCGAGGCGGTGGAAGAGCGGAGAAGAAGATCTTACTTTCTTCCTCGCTCTCTCTATTTCTTCTTCTCTTTTACCCTCCTCTCTCTCTTCGCTTCTCTCTGACGAGATCATCGGCGGAGAGCAAAATACGAAGCGAGAGCTAAGGGAGAGAAGTTTCGCGGCAGCTTCGGGTTCAACTATTTATGGAAAACATTAGGTGACAAGATTTGCACGATTTGGCAGTTATTAGCCTTCCCTCTTGTAAACTGAATCGACGCATAGATAAACGTAAGTGGGAATATGATCCACCGTCCGATTCGCTCTGATCATCGCCACGGGCGCAGCGAACGGCGTGTTCTCAGCGTTCGTGATTAACGACAACACTCTTTTTCCTATTATTCTTTGTGAGGATGTGCTCCGATTCGTGCCTGCCTCTAGTAGACATGAAGCACTAATTCGTGCCATCGACTCGTGGCACTAAGCATTTAACTCGATAAACAAATGTTTTCATCTTTGTCTTATCTCAATCAATCTTATTTCTACCAAAACAAATGTTTTGACCACTATCTTTCGAGTCCATAGTAAATCACATCTGCCGCCAACCATCACAACAAACTCTTGGACTCTATCGATTTCAATTCCTCTTTCGAGTGGCTTTACCAAGGATTTAAGATCACTGTAAGACGATCTTTGGAAAGGGAAAAACAATCTATATTGCATTAGAAAAGGACCTAAAACATGCAACTACTAAGTGATTTCTTTGAGCAACAAAGCTCGGACTTCTTATGAAAAGTATCTCACTTCTTGCGGCTACAAGGTTATTGATATCTCTATTTTTTTATCTCCTTCTCTTTCTTAGCTAACCGGATCTCTCTTTAAAGTATTGCAAATGGCTCCTTGATAAAGAAGATATTATTGATAGATTTTATGGCTTTTTATTATTGGATAAGATATATAACTAATTAGATTCTGATTAAATATTTTGATTAATAGAAAAAAAAAAGTCCACTTAAAGTATGATTCCTTAGGAGATAACCTTGATGGGAGGATTATAGTCCTATATATAGATAAGACTTCTAGGGACTGATTATAAGAAGAGAACAACTCATAGAGATTATAGTTGAGGGATTATAATCTTTCCCCCAACTCTTCTCCCTTAATCATCAATCTATGGAGTCCTGTGAAAGGATAGAAAGAGAGAAGAATGATCTAGTTCATTTTTGCATATTGACAACGATCTTAGATTAAAAACGGTATCTTACAGATCAAACAGAGATCTCTGAACAGATGACATCAAAAGTTACGCATCATTAAAATAGATATAAGTATTTGATTTCAATCTTAATATAAAAGATTGTTTCTGCATTCTTACGGTTGTTGCCTACTGTTGGAGTTGAGCAAGAGGAAGTTACTAATCTCTCGTTATGACTTTCGAAGAAGACGAAGAAGCTGCTATGGTTTCTGGTCTTTCCTTAGGGTCAGTTGGAGGCTTGTTACTAATCTCTCGTTAGGGCTAGCTGCAGGTTGCTATTGATGTCCCCAATGCTGCTACACCTCATCTCGTTTTATAGTCTTGGACAAGAGGTCTCCTTGCTAGGGTGAGACTCTCATTTGGAATCCAATTTGACTTTCTATATAAGTCAGACTAGGATTGAACTAAATTGACACTTTGAGTTGGCCAAATCTACCCATTGAGCATAGATATAAGCTTGAGCTTGGTTCGATCAGATTGGGATTTATTTGAAGTTTGACTGAACTCTAGTTGAGTTAAATTGGAGTATGACTCAAATTTTGATCGAGTTGAATTGGAGTATGACTCGCACTAGGGTTGAGTTAAATTGGCGTATAAATCAAACTGAGTTTGATCATCCCTAATCATAGCTCTCCCAATCGGGTGATTTAACTCGTGTTGCATCTTGAGTTGAAGATGAGGAAACTATGCTTTGTTAGCTTCTTTCGATAACCACCTTATTTAATTTGGCTTTGGCCCTTTGCCCCTTACTTTGAAAAGTTATTTTGACGCCTTGTCTTGTAATAGTAACTTTCTTTTTAACAACCATAGTCATCGAAGAAATCGATGATAATTTCTTGGTCTTGCAGTAATAGTTTCACCTGCGGGCATCTTTGGTCGCACTTTAGGATTCTGCCATCGGCAACCTTTACATCGAACTTGCTGTAACCTTCAATATGCAGTGTCATCCGAGCAGCAACCTTACTATTTAGGAAGTTATTAGTGCTACCCGTGTCGATGAGGGCTATTGTTTGAGAAGGCCTCCAACTTTCATCGTTTGCGGATTTGAGTAGCCAGCTAGTGCGTGTACCATAATGTCGGTCAGTTGTGGCTCTTCTTCCATATCTTCTTCTTCATGTTCAAGGCTCTCTTCTAGATGTTCAATGACCTCTTCTTCTACTAGTTCAATCATAAGAAGTCTACCTTTTTTACAGCGATGCTCGTGGCTCCACGGCTCGTCGCAATGCCAACATAACCCCTTCGCAGATCGCTCCCGAAGTTCTTCTCTTGTTAACCTTTTCGGTGCAGGGACTCGGTTGATAGTAGGGGGGGCTGAGGGCTTTAGTATTGTAGGTCGTGGAGTGATCCTAGTCCTCCGGGCTTCATGGTTCAATTACTCCTCTTGAAGTCGTGCGAAAGAGATGGGTGCCATAAGCGTGTATGGTTGTCGCGCCTTAACTTCTCCCCGGATCTCTGGCTTTAAGCCCTCAATAAAGGTCCACAATAACTGTTTTTCAGACCAATCACGAGTTTGATTAGATAACCTTTCAAACCTGGTCTGGTACTCCTGAATGGTGGAGGTTTGTCGGATCTTTGCTAGTTGTCCGTCAATGTTCTCGTAATAAGTTGGTCCGAAATGGATCAGTAGTCCTTCTTTGAATTGTCGCCATGAAAGGACTCCATAAGTGTGTTCAAACCAGTCAAGATGCATCCGCAGTTTTATGGTACCAAAAATATCGCTCCGCGCGCGAGATCTAACCAATTGGGTCTCCTTCTTCCCATCTAGGGAAGTCCACTCTCATGCGCGAATAGTTGGGGTCGGTCATAGAGCCTCCCCTCTCTTGGAAGTCATCTCTTTGGGCATGATGTGATTGGTTAGAGCTCTCTCCTTGATGTGATTTCTTCGGGTTTGGTGGTCGGCCCAAACTGAATTCGGTAAGAAGAGTCCGAATCTTATCCTCCATTCGTGCCTCAAAGGCTTCAAATTTAGCATTGATTGCCTCCTCAGATGCCATAGTATATGACTCCAAATCTGTGATGTTAAGATCTCTCTTTTGTTGATGGGTTAAAGGCATGTATAGGTTTGATAGAAATCAATGAAAGTTTGCTGCAGAATTGTGTTGTCTTGTAAGAGCAGAATTATTGTCGAAGAAACAGCGGTTTCTCGACGAAATCTCCATAAAAAATTTGAGATATTTGAGGAGGGAATTGACAGTAATATCTCAGTTTATATGACAACAAGGATGTCCAATTTAATTAAGAAAATTTCGGTAGTAACAACAAGAAAATTGGTGTAAGTTGCGATAACTTGAAGGGGATGCCATACAATGGTTTGACTGGTTTGAACACACTTATGGAGTCCTTTCATGGCGACAATTCAAAGAAGGACTACTGATCCGCTTCGGACCAACTTATTACGAGAACATTGACGGACAACTAGCAAAGATTCGACAAACCTCCACCATTCAGGAGTACCAGACCAGGTTTGAAAGGTTATCTAATCAAACTCGTGATTGGTCTGAAAAATAGTTATTGGGGACCTTTATTGAGGGCTTAAAGCCAAAGATCCGGGGAGAAGTTAAGGCGCGACAACCTTACACGCTTATGGCAGCCATCTCTTTCGCACGACTTCAAGAGGAGCGATTGAACCATGAAGCCCGGAGGACTAGAATCACTCCACAACCTATAATACGAAAGCCCTTAGCCCCCCCTACTATCAACCGAGTCCTTGCACTGAAAAGGTTAACAAAAGAAGAACTTCGGGAGCAATCTGCAAAGGGGTTATGTTGGCATTGCGACGAGCCGTGGAGCCACAAGCATCGCTGTAAAAAAGGTAGACTTCTTATGATTGAACTAGTAGAAGAAGAGGTCATTGAATATCTAGAAGAGAGCCTTGAACATGAAGAAGAAGATATGGAAGAAGAGCCACAGCTGACCGACATTACGGTACACGCACTAGCTGGCTACTCAAATCCACAAACGATGAAAGTTGGAGGCCTTCTCAAACAATAGCCCATCACTGTTCTCATTGACACGGGTAGCACTAATAACTTCCTAAATAGTAAGGTTGTT